GCACTGTCGGAGGGTCATGCTGAGGGAGGGCCGCACTGTTGGAGGGTCATGCTGAGGGAGTGACGCACTGTCGGAGGGTCATGCTGAGGGAGCGCTGCACTATTGGAATGTCAGCACTGGCGGAATGCTGCACTATTGGAGGGTCGCTGCTGAAAGAATGTTCACTGTTGGAAGTTCAGTTCTGAGGGAGCACCGCAGTTTCAAAGATGCCATTTTTTTGGATGAAATGTTGAACTATGACCTTGCCTGCTGTTTCTGTTGGGCTTACAGATCTGATACAAATCATTCAAAGAAGTACAGGGGAGTTAGCTTAGTTTTGTGGGCAACATTGAACTATCAACTGATAGTACATTTTTAACAAAATCAGGTCAGGATCATACTGCTGATTGTAGGATGACAAAACTAAATTACAGTCACTTGCACTCACCTTTAAATATTGGCCCGGACTCCATCGTAGACTCCCCAATACTTCTTCAAAATTGCTGAGAGGCCAGATGGGAACTTGGTTTAACATTTCATTGAAGAGACATAGCTATTGCACATGATATTTCAACAAGTACTCCATTTTCAGGTTGCAATTCTGAACAGGAATTTTGATCAGAAATTTGAACATTATCAAAATAATGGAATTAGCTCCAGCAGCACTTGGGGCATCATTCTGGTGTAGTGCACATCACAGCCACGTGATGGTGCTGTAATACAAAGGAGGCTTGTCTGGCACAGGAACACTGGCAGAAACCTGATGGGCCGAATGCACTCCTCTACTAACTCAGAAAGTAACAAAGTATTTGAGAGAGTCGTGTTATGTTGTAGAGAATGGAGGTGAAGTTTTATCCAGAGACCATTGCCAATTGAACCTTGGCAGAATCATCCTCCTCTTTAATTTCAATAATATCAAATTCCAAAAACATAGAAGATAGGAGCAGGAGTAGGTCATTTGGTCCCTCCAGCGTGGTCCATCGTTCAATATGATCATGGCTGATCATCAAGCTCAATACCCTAATCCCACCCCCTTCCCCACACTCCCTGATTCTTCTAGTCACAAGAGCTATATCTACCTCCTTCTTGAAAACTCATAAGGATTTGGCCTCAACCATTTTCTTCGGTAGTGAATTCCACAGGCTCCCCACTCACCAGGTGAAGAAATTTCTCCTCATCTCAGTCCTAAAAGGTTTACCCTTATCCTTAAACTAGGATCTCTGGTTCTGGGCTCTCCCACCATTAGGAATGTCCTTACTGCATCTAATCTGTCTATTCCTGTTAGAAGTTTATAGGTTTCTCTGATCTGCCCTCTCATTCTTTGAACTCCAGAGAATATAATCCTAACTAACTCAATCTCTCCTCATACGTCAGTCCTTCCACTCTAGGAATTAGTTTGGTAAAATTTCACAATACTCCCTAATAGAAGAACATCCTTCTTCAGACAACAACACCAAAATTGCACACAGATCTGTGGGGTGTGGTCTTACCTGTACTCTGTAGAATTGCAGTGAGACATCCTTGTTCCTGTACTTGAATACTCTCGCTATTGCTTCTCTTCCTCACCCACCACTCTCTCATCCCTCACCCCCTCTTCCATTCTCTGTTGTGTTCCATCCTTACTTACCACCCTTACCATTTGCTTTTTCCTCCCCCTCCACTCTCCCTCACCCCTTTCAACTTTCTCCTTCCTCACCTACTGCCCTAACCACTCTGAACCTGTCTCCTCACCTCTCACACAGCACTGCTCTCTCCCCTACATTCCCGACCCTCATCCATTTCTGTTGCCACTGACTGACTCTCTCCTTCTCCCTGGCTCCACTGTGCCTCCACTCCCTCCCCCATTTCTCCTGCCCATCTTTCCCCCCATGCTCACATCGCACTGCTCCCACAATCCACCCACTCGCCCTCTTTCTCCTGTGCACTCCTTCAGTTCGAATCCTAATTTTCCTTCTGTTAATTAACAAGGAGGGATAAATGCCCAGAAATATCGAGGGCCAATATTAAATAGAAATGAGAATTTTCCAGCAGAGTGGAGCAGTCACAGCAGCATATTTATCTCGCAGCAGTGCGCAGTGTGGGAGGAGATGATAAATGGTGTTGTTTTTCCATTTTGATTTAATTTAAAAGTAGTCTCTATTTCACAGCGCCATGGATGTAAGTAAATATTTTAACACAAGGGAAAAATTAGATTGGTACAAGGGCGTCCTCCAGCTGCCACTCAGCGGCTCCATGTCTGCCTACGCCCATTGTCTGAAAGTTTGAGAATTATTTATCCCCAAATCTTCCCTCTCTATCTCTGGGAAGTGTTTAAGGTTTCCACAAACTGAAACGTATCTAAAAACTCTGCTGCACATACTTTAACTCTCACTACATTCTGTCTGTCTATTACCCCTCACATTGTTCACACTGACTCCCAAACCGGCTAGATCTCAATTTTAAAATTCTTACCCTTGCTTAGAGATTACTCATCGTTCTCACCTCTCCCTATCTTTGTAATCTCCTCCACTCCCACAACCCTCTTGGATCCCTGCGTACTGCCAAATCCACCCTCATAAACACTTCTGACTTTAATGGTTCCGCCACTGGTGAGTCTTGCCTTGACCTCAAACTGTAGAATACCCTCTGTAAACCCTTCTGCCTCTTTCTCCCATCCTTTGCAATACTTCTTAAAACATCCACCTTTGACTAAGCTTTGTGCAGTTGTCACCTGATATCCTGTTATGTAGCTAGGGGATCATAATTTGTTTCGTAATGCTCCTGTCAAACAGATTGAAATATTTCATTATATTAAGGATGTCATTATAAATGTAGGTAGTTGTTGTACGAATGACAGTTGTCATCCCTGTTGCCTGGTCCTGCTCAATTTATTGAGGCAAAACGTCATGATTTTTGTAACTGCCCTCCTGACACCCCAAAGCCCATCCATCATCAAAAGGCACAAGTCAGGAGTGTGATGGAATATTTCCTATTTGCCTGGATGGGTGCAGCTCCAAGAACACTCAAGAAGCTTGTCACCATCCTGGACTGCACCCCAAAGTTCTGAAGGAGATAGCTCAGGAGATTGTGAAGATGTTGGTGATGATCTTTCAGGAATCACTGGAGTCAGGGAGGGTCCCAGAAGACTGGCACGTGTAGAGGGTTGGCTGACGGGCAGAAGGCAGAGAGTAGGGATAAACGGTTCTGAAGAAGGATTACTGGACCCAAAATGTTAACTCTTGATTTCTCGTCACAGATGGTGCCAGACCTGCTGAGATTTTCTAACAAGTTCAGTTTTTGTTTGAGGAGGGATAAAGGGGTCTCTTTCAGGATGGCAGCCGGAGAATAGTGGAGGGGTCCATGTTGGGACCACAACTATCCACGTTATACATTAGTGATCTGGATGAAGGAACTGAGAACATTGTTGCTAAGTTTACGTGACACAAAGGTAGGTAGAGGGACAGGTAGTGTTGAGGAAGCAGGGAGGCCACAGAAGGACTTGGGCAGGCCGGAAGATTGGGCCAAGAAGTGGCAGATGAATACAATGTGGGAAAGTGTGAGGTTATGCACTTTGGAAGGCAGTTTAGAGGCATAGGAAGAGGCATAGACTATTTTCTAAATGGGGAAACTTCAGAAATCTTCAGAAAGATTTGGGAGTCCTGGTTCAGGATGCTCTTAATTCTTAATCCTCTGAATTCTCTCATTCACTCCTTCCACCACCGACGCTCAGTAGTGTAAGTGTGTACTATCTACAAGACGCACTGCAGAATTTCACCAAAGTCCTTAGACTTTCCAAACCCACGAGCACTTCCATCTAGAAGGACAAGGGCAGCAGTTACATGGGAACACCACCCCCTGCAAGTTCCCCTCCAAGCCACACACCATCCTGACTTGGAAATATATTGCTGTTCCTTCACTGTCGCTGGGTCAAAATCCTGGAATTCCTAAGGGCATTGTGGGTCAACCCACAGCACATGGACTGCAGCGGTTCAAGAAGGCAGCTCAACACCACCTTCTCAAGGGGCAACTAGGGACAGGCAATAAATGCTGGATGAGCAGTGAATCACATATCCTGTGAAAATGAATTAAAAAATAGAACAAAAAGAGAAGTTGCTGGAAAAGCTCAGAAGGCTTGGCAGCATCTGTGAAGAAAAATCAGAGTTATCAGCACTATTTGGAGGAAGGGTCACCAAACCCGAAACGTTAGCTCTGATTTTTCCTCACAGATGCTGCCTGACCTGTTGAGCTTTTCCAGCAACTTCTGTTTTTGTTCCTGATTTACAGCATCTGCAGTTCTTCCGGTTTTTAATGAATAAAAAGTATTTGGCTCCAACGTGGACAGAGAAGCTACTTCGGACAAACTGGGCGTCTCCCCAATGTGCACATCACTAAAGCTGCTTATCACTCGTTGTGGGATCTTGCTGTGTGCTAATGTGTTGTCGCAGTTAGATCGGTGATTCCTCCTCAGAACACCCTCAGTGGCACTGGAACATGCTGAGGTCGGGAAAGGCGCCATACGAATGTAAGTTTGCCCCTGGAAGGGGTGCTTGTTGCTGACTGATTGGGTGGGGACCCTGTCCCCGGGAGGAGGTCAGCACAGATACAAACCCCGCCCCAGCACACGGGCATCGGCTTCATGCTGGGGTTGTTGTTGTGAATTTAAATCGCTGCCGAAAGCGGGAGGCGCTTTGAAGTCTGTAGATCCCAGCCCGGGAGCGCACGTACATCTCACTCCGACAGGCGATTAGAATCGGCTCGGGGATTCGATTCCCAGAGGGTGAGGCTTCGCTTTGTGCGGCGGCAGGTCACTGGGGACTCGCCCCTACCCCCC